CCAAACCTTTCTTTTACCAAATTTACCTAACCTCAATTTTAAACACACAAGTCTTACGGATTTTTGCTGCCACACAGTCAATTTGATGAAAATTATGGAGTTAAAGGCCTTTATAGATTCAGCCTCAAACAGTTTAAAATCTCACACCAACAAGACAGCTGCATCTTCTCAAGGAACCAAACTGTTCCATCAAGAAAGCACTTTTTTTCTCATTCATTGTAATAAACTTGCTTCTCCCTTTCAGTCAGTTCAGCTACTAAGAACTTTCTCTTCAAGGTCAGTTCCCATACACACTGTGTGCTAATACTGAGCAAGTGCAAAATGCTAAGAGCAAACCCTGAATCATTTCCACTCTCCAAGCCCTTACCCTGATACAAGCACAAAAAGAAACAATCTCTTTGCATTTTATGCTGGTCTTGAAATCTCTTTCAGCTGAAATCTAATTACAAGCAATAGATTGTTCTTTCATACCCTTTTGAAGAGTATCTGCATTCCCCACACTGTAATACTGGATCAGCAGTTCAGTTACAAAGATTGTATTCAGAGGTGCACACAAACAGGCCTCTTTCAATTTTGGTGCTGGCCAGGTGAAACTCTTGTGTGCCTGCCTGTAACTTCAACCCTGCCTGTTTGAATGGGTTAGATAAGGGCAGTACAAAGCATGTGTCAGAGAATCCCAGAGCCTTCCTGTTCCCACACAAAAGGCATTTTAAGTACGGTTGGAGCAGATTATGCTCTAACTCACTGAGATCAGCTTTGCCTCCTTCCCTCCCACTGCTGCCAGTTTCTGACAGCTTACTGCAGGGTATAATTAGGGATTTAGTTTCTAGTCTTCCAGGCATCTATTTGCCTCTTTTTCCCCCCCCTTTCCCTAAGAAATTGAGTCATTATTATGTCTCCTTTTGAGCTCTACTCTTAAGAAAGTGTTGCCTTTCCCCCAAGAGGGGCATTTTTGATGGCAAACCACTTATTTCCAATAGTATTGTAAACTAGAGTGGTAGCATTTTAGATATTCAGTGTGACTATTTCACAAACCTCCTATTGTCTGCTGTTTGTCTTTAAATATGTGTATGCACAGATATGTGTGTGCATACACATAAATACATACAGAAGCCAAAAACATATGGGAGCTGCTGGAGAGTAGAAGCTATTTATAGTTGAGCCTTTTAATGTTTTAACAGTAATGGTTAAGCACTAACACTTCCAAGGACCACACATTGCATTAAATAACTGTATCACTTGGGAAGCATCGACTTGTCATATTGCATCCTACAGTGTGCTACAAAAAGCTCTTCAGTGCTTTCTCAAGTAGAAGACATTTCTCCCCTCACTCCCATTTTAAGGTACAGGCACAATTCTGCTTCCTTCCCCACAAAGAAGCTCTTTCCTTATTCTCACCTGTTTGTTTGGGTAGCATTTGCCCTGCTGGAACCCATGCCTAACCCAAGGAAGGCCCTTCAGCTCCCACCTTCCTTCCCAGTACTCCCCCATCCCTGCTTATAGCCCCCCTTGCCCTGTAGCCACAGGTCCCTATTCCCACCTGCCTACCTTGGATGCAGGGACCTTCCCAGCCTCAGCAAGGATCCTTTGGTCTCTGGAGAACCATTTCCATAAGGTTCTTCTTCCCCTACTCACACAGCCACATCCCAACAGGCCTGTATTCCCCAGGGTACAAGAGGTACAAGCCCTTTCACCAAGTACATGCTAACCCAGGCAGGCCCACTTAACACACAGGTGCCTTACTTCTCTCCTTCCCCTGGGTTAAGCTCACCACATCACCTGGGTGGTACGTCAGAGCCCATTTCCCTAGGTGGAAATGGGATGGGCAAATGGGATGAGCTCATAGCCCCCTCCTCCCAAAGCCCAGGGAACCCCATCCGATTGCACTTACCCCAGCAGGTGGGGCAGACATCCCACCACATCAGTCTGGCAAGAAACACATCCAAACCTTTGTGAAATGAGTCTCTGGACTGAAAGCAGAGAACACAGGAATGCCTGTGGGCAGACAGGCAGGGCAGCTGAGTGAGCGCGTCTAGCTTGCGGTGCCCAGGAAAGTGCATTGCCCAGGAAACCTGGAGCACAGGAGCCAACGAGGCAAAGCCATCACCATCTGCAGCCCAGGCAGGGCAGGACCAACCCTCTCTGTGTGAGGGCTGTTGCCCTGGGCAGCCCAGATGGATGCTTGCGTTTTTCTCCATGTCCTCTTGTAGGAGTGGAAAAATTTCCTTGCAGTGGAATAGGTGAATGTGGTAGGAGTAAGACTGGTTTAGCTAAACCTTGGGACTAGCTAAATTAATCATGCCAGTGACACAAGTGTTGTCTTACCCTGAGAGGGGTCAGGTGAATGTACTCACCTTAGATAAAGGCCAGGATCCTATAAGTAAGAATATGGATTCACTCTTGATCCCACACAATTACACTGCCATTTAACCCATGGAAACCAAATGAGCAGTTATTCCAAACCCTTGCTGCCACCCTGGGCCATCCTTAGCTGGATGACTCCTGACACCGGTCAAAGGGAGGTAGCACTGGGCCCTGCTCAAACCTGAAAGAGCAACACAGGCAGCAAACATCCTCCTTGGCCATGGCCTCAGGCCTCACATTCCAATGTAACAAAGGTCACCCAACAGAGCCCTAAGCAAGGTGCTGGTGGAGTTGTACAAAAATTGTAGTCAAAGCAATTGTTTTTTTCCTTTCACAGGCAAGTGCCCCAAAGACTTGCCTGCAAAACATTCAGTGTTCATTGGCAGAGCACTTTTGGCTCTGACAAAGCCCACATGCTTTGAGAGGCTGGAGAGCAAAGCAAACATGATGGAAGTGTATATCTGGCAAGGAAAGGAGAGGCAGCTCACTGCTCACTTGTCTTCTTGCATCTTGAACAACCTCAAACTAAACTGCTCCACTGAGAGTGGTGCTGCATTGCTGCTGTCACACAAAAGCTCGCTGTTTTCCAATGCTGGGTGGCTGTGGGCTGGCACTGCACCAAGCAATGCAGAGGGAAGAACGTATTGCCTCTGAGGCACTGACATGGGATGTGGGCTGTGGGGAGGGGCTCCATGTGGTCCAGGGGATGCCAGAGCTGTGATACCTGGGCCAAGTGCCCTGGACTAAATGCAGGCAGCACTGTCCAGGGCTGTCGGGAGCCTGATGTGAGAGATCCTCAGGCTGCCATGCAGTCACCTGCAGGAAAACAAATGGCAACAGCCCTCTTTGGACTCACCTGATCTCAAACTTCTGAATCCCAGTGGTGCTTGTCACACTGACAAGGGTAGTGGTGCTGTCTGCTGCAGCCGGGTCCCTCTGTGAGTACCTGCACAGGTGTCCTGCCTGTTGTGCCTGGGGTGAAGTTTTGTGTCCTCCATCCTGGCACCAGGCTAGGATACACCAGCCCATTCACCACCCTCAAGGCCAGACTGTTCTTCTGAGCACTCATATTTCTTATGATATGTTATTATTGATGACCTTCTTAAAATGAAGGATTTCTATTTGCTAATTGAAATGTAGAATCAGGGAGAAAGGGCCCGTAGGCTGCAAAAGAGCACGTGTCTGTTCAGTCTCATCTGATGCTATGTACTATGACAAAGTGAGTTAGAGAAGGCAATGAACACAAATAGCACTGATGCAAGGATGAGTCTTGGCAAGCGTGTCCTACCATTGAAAACACAATGTGAGTGTAGCAGAAATTACATGCTCCCCATCCTAGCTGTGACCCGGACTGCAGCCGTGCAGGTTTTGGCAGTAGAGGTGCAGCAGCATGGACTTTAAAGCAGAATATCAATCAGCATGGAAGACCACGGGAACGCCTGCATATCGCTATTCCACTTTAGAGGTTGCACCACTTCAGTACTGTGCTGTCCAAGTAATGACATTAAAGCTTTCACAGCCTCGTTATCTTTTTTTCCCCCTCTGTTTTGACCATGCTTTTAGAAACCTGATTTGTCTGTGTTTCCTCACTGCAGTCCCCATTGACAGTAATGCTTTTGCTGTGATTCTTCTTCTTCCTCTGCTTTTCTCCTTGATCAATGCTATGTGTCTAAAGAAATCTTTGTGTCAACCCACCTCAAGTTCTCCCCTTCTCCTCCTCAAATATTTCTTTGTTTTGGGCCTAAGCATGAACTCTCCTGGTGCCCCAGATGGATTTCTCCTGTTGTCAAGAGCAGCCAGTGACATTTATTGGAATACGGCTCCTCAGGGAGCCTGCACCAACACTTATTAGACAGTTGTCACTGCTTTCCTGATGTCCTTTCCCAGTACTGAGCATCTGGGTTTCACTTAATCCCATGTGCTGATGAGCAGCATTCTCAAAAGTCAAGTTATTTTGGATCTTTACCATGGAGGATAGTTAATGCAGGCATTTGTGGGTACAGCTCATTACGTATGCTTCGTGTCATTGACAAGCAGCACCTGGCTTATCACCAGTAGGCACAGCTAGGCATGAGGGACTGGTGATGCTGAGCACCAAACCACTTTGAGATGTGCTAAGAAGTCATTAGTACTGGTGCTGTGACGGATCCAGGCAGCCAAGTGCAATTCAAGGCCATTATTAGCAGGTCAGTAAAGGCCCTGACTGGTGCTTTCAGTAGAAGTAGGAACTTTAGGGCTATTCACGTCAATTTAAAGCCACTCTTCCGTTACATGGACCTGCACAACCAAGTCCAGAGGAGGCCTCGGAGACGATCAGAAGGCTGAAGCACCTCTCCTATGAAGACAGTTTGGAAGAGTTGGGCTTGTTCAGCCTGGAGAAGAGAAATCTCTGGGGAGACCTTAGAGCAGCTTCCAGTGCTTAAAGAGAGCCTACAACAAATCTGGAGAAGAACTTTTTAAAAGGGCAGGTAGTGACAGGGCAAGGGAGAATGGCTTTAAACTGACAGAAGGTACATTTAGATTACATATTAGGAAGAAATTCTTCCCTGTGAGGGTGCTGAGGCACTGGAACAGGTTGTCCCACACCTGGTAGTGCTCAATGCCAGGTTGGACGGGGCGTTGAGCAAACTGGTCTAGTGGAAGGTGTCCTTTCCCATGGTAGGTGGAAGTATTCAGATGATCTTTAAGGCCCCCACCAACCCTAACCATTCTGTGGCAAGCTGGGCAGAGTCCTCAGTGTGTGTCTTGGCTCGACTCAGGAAACCGATGGGGTAAAAGCCACTTCCTTTGATGTACAATTAGTTACCACAAGTACGGGCAGCTGAATGCCCAGCACCACAGATGAGGAGCCACAACGGAGGGCTCTGTGCCAGGCCACTGGCCATTGTCTTGGTCAGCCTGGAGACATCGGGGGAGCCTGAAGTACTTCTGATGTGCTGCAGCGGGTGCTGGGGGGCTGTGGCATGTCCATGGGTGCATCGCCCAAGCCTGGTTGGCTTCATTCACGGGGGCTTGGGGGTCAGGACGCAGCCGGGCCTTGCTTTGCCCCCAGAGCTGGCTCTGTCGCAGCCCCGGGGATAGGACGGGGGGCGCCTCTCCCCCTCGCTCCCCCCAGCCCACCCACCGCCGCCAGCGGACATTCCCGCCCCGGCCCCGGCAGCTGCCGCGGATCCGGCTCAGCGCCGCCCCCGGCCCCCCCGCAGCGCCTGCCGGCTCCCGCCGCTCGGGGTCTCCGCACCGCTGCCGCTGCCGGTGCGGCGGCGCGGGGGGCGGGCTGGGGGCGGGCCGGGGGCCGCGGCGCGGCCGTCGGGCCCGGCGCGCCGGCTCGGGGGCCGGGGAGGACCATGCACCGCGCTGCCTCCAACCAGCGCTCGGTCTCCTCCTCCTCGGGCTCCTTCCAGCCGCCGCCGCCGCCGCCGCCGCCGCCGCTGCCGCACGCCGCCGACCGGCAGCCCCTCTTCCCGGGGGGCTCCAACAGCGGCGGCAGCCGGCGGGGCTCGGGGTCGAGCTCGGGCTCGGCGCGGGCCCGCCGCACCCGCAGCCCCCGCAGCAGCACCGAGGAGGAGGAGGAGGAGGAGGAAGAAGAAGAAGAGGAGGACAGCATCAGCATCAGCAAGCCTCTGGTGCCGCCGCCCGCCGCCCCGCCGCCAGCCGCCGCCTCGCCGCTCCCTAGCAGCGGCAGCAGCAGCAGCAGCAGCAGCGGCGGGAGCCCGGGCCGCAGCATGACGGCGGCGGAGCTGTACGGGGCGGCGGCGGGCGGCGGGACGGTGGGCGGCGGGGCGGCGGCGGCGGCGCTGCTAGGGCCCGGCGGGGCGGCGGGCGGGAGGCGCTGGGGCTTCCAGGCGCTGTCCCTGGTGCTGCTGCTGGGGCAGGGCGCGCTGCTGGACCTGTACCTGATCGCAGTCACCGACCTGTACTGGTGCAGCTGGATCGCCACCGACCTGGTGCTGGCGGCCGGCTGGGGCATCTTCTTCTGCCGCAACAGCCGGGCGCGCCGCCGAGAGCGGCCCCCGCCGCCCCCCGGGCCGCCTCCGCCGCACCCGCTGCTGCTGCACGGCCCCCCCGGCGGGCGCGGGGCCGGGGGCCGGGGGGGCGGGGTTCCCCCCCGCGGCGGCGACTTTGCCTACGCTCACCTCGCCTGGCTCATCTACTCCATCGCCTTCACGCCCAAGGCGGCGCTGATCCTGGGCACCTCCATCCTGGAGCTGATCGAGCTGCGCCTGCCGCTGGGCACCACCGGCTTCCGCATCACGCTGGCGCTCTCCGCCCCGCTGCTGTACTGCCTGCTGCGGGCCATCGGCACCGAGGGCGCCGGGCAGCTGCTCCTGCCGCCGCAGCCGCCGCCGCAGCACCGCGCCGCCGCCGCTTTCCTCGCCACCTGCCTCGACCTCCTCGACAGCTTCTCCCTGCTGGAGCTGGTGCTGCAGCCCGGGCGGCCGGCGCCGCTGCCCGCCCCGCTGCGCTACCTCCTCATCGCAGTCTACTTCCTCTGCCTGGCCTCGCCGGTGCTGTGGCTGTACGAGCTCAGCGCCGCCCGCCCCCCCGGCGCCGCTCGCCTCGCCCTCCACCTCCTGCTGCCCGCCGGGCTGCTGGACGCCCCGCTCCTGGCGCTGCGCTGCCTCCTGCTCCTGCGCTACCAGCAGCCGCTCTCCCTTTTCATGTTGAAGAACCTCTTCTTCCTGGCCTGCCGCGGCCTGGAGGCGCTGGAGACCTGCTGCCTCCTCCGCCCCGCCGCCGCCCCGCCGCCCGTCAAGTACGGCCCCGGCGCTGCCGCTCCCGCCGCCGCCGCCCCGCTGGCCCACGGGCTCTCGGACGCCGACGTGGGGCCCCACGGGTACGTGAACGCCTTGGCGGTCACCGCGCAGGGCTGAGCCTCCCCCGGGCCGCCGCCCCCCGAGGGGCTCCCCGCAGCGTCGCTGCGGTCCTGCTCAGGTTCCCGCCGCCGCGGCCGAGCGGGAGAAGGGCTCTCGCTCTCCTCCCTGTCCCGCGGACACATCCAGCAGCGGAAGCTCAGCGCAAACCCGACTGCCGGCACGGGCCTACGGCTGGCGCTTGTCCCTGGAAAACACACCTGCCCTTCACGTCGAGTCCTGCCCCTCCGTGCTGTTCGGGGGATCCCGCTCTTCCCCTCCCGCTCCCCGCCAGGACATCTCGCTGCTTTGTGACCATAAAAGTTTAGGTTTTCCTTTCCCTCCTACACAACAAACAGGGACCAAATGGTGGATTTTGTCCCCTCCATTATTAACTCCTGCTGACCACAAGAAGATGCGAGAGGGCCCTGGCCAGCAGGGACGTGCCTTTGGGGTGCGGGCAGGGCCAAAGGAAGCGCGCTTTGGTTTCACTAGGTCTTGCAAAGCTTCTGCCTCCGTTTCCTAGCAGCATAGAGTTGTTCCAGCTGGAGGACCTCTGGGAGCATGCCAGCTAGCTGGTCATTTCAAGCCTAGGAGCCACTTTCTCCAAGCCAATACCGTCTACCTCTGTGCTTCAACCTTTTGCATCTTATGTTGACTTCACATGCTAAAGAAACAGGCAAATCCAGCATGGACATAATGCAGGGGCTTAGGCTCCATTTCACTACCACCGAGACATTTACTTCTGGTGAGAACAGGGTTTACAGCAGCCTATTGCTCGCTTCAGCCAGCAGCACCCAGGTGCTGGGGCTCTCATTTCTGTGAATATGCATGTTTATGGGATCAGCATTGGTTTTCTTTTATGCAGAGTGTACTGTCTCCCTTTCCATCAGCCAGGAAGGCTGGAAAGATTTCCTCTGGCCCCCTTCCATGTCTGCATGAGAGCACAGAGACAGGGCTCAGCCTGCAAACTGCCCCATCCCAAACAGCAGAGCAGAGGATGCTGGTGCTGCTTGGGGTGGGCACCGGGCTTGGCGAGCCTTGCATTTCAGTGCAGAAAGCAAGGACACACAAGCTTTGGTGACAGCCCGTGTACCAGCATCCTGTCCTCCATGTGCATGTGGGTCAGGGTAGGTGGGGAGAAAGTTAATTGTTAGTAATCTCTCATAAAAATACAGTTATCTTTGTTTTTTAAGCTCCATGAACGTTCGGTGGGGGTTAAGGCCTGCTCTTCTGTCTGGCTACAGCTGCTCCTGAAACCAGCCCAACGGAAGCAGGAGCACAGAGGCCACATTTGGAGGAAGGACTTTGCCCCTCCCAGGTTTATATTTTGTTATCTGGGCAAGGCTGCATCCATTGGGAAAATGACAATTTCACATCCTGAGCCTTTTTTCGAGCTGTCCTGACAGGAAGGGGAAGTAAAGCACAACCAACTGCTACCCAGAGCTAACAGCAGGACTGCAGGAACAGCCCAGACCTCTCCTCCACACACATCCATTCTTTCCTTCAGGGCTTGGGCTTCAGTGGGACCGAGCCTCTATCCCACTTCCCATTTCACAGGGTCAGATCAACTGCCTGCTCCAGTGGACTGCTCCGACAAAATGTTTACAGTCTGGTGACTTCCAGCTCCCACAGGCAGAAGTGGGGGTGCCATGGGCCTCTTCTCCCCCAGCTCCTGGCAGCTGATGAGTCTGGAGGAGCTAGAAAAGCCCCTTGGAAAGCTGGGGCAATAGTGCTTGTTCTGTTCAGAGCTGCAGCTATAGGACAGGTGACTCACTCCTCTCCCCTTGCCAAATGGAGAGTTGGCAAAGGCCAGGCTTAACGTTCCCACCAGTGCTTTATTTTTAACCTGAGCCCTTACGTGGGCAATTATGTGAATTTTGGCCAGTGGCCTTTCTCTTCAGTAACTTCTTTTTGTCTGGACAATCTTGGTGCTGTGAGTGACTGTGATTGTAAAACTTGGTACTGTGAACTTTTCCTATGTGATGTGAGATGTGTCGAGGGGATGCTAAGTTCCTGACCGAAGGAGGTGTACTTACAGGTAGATTTTGCTTGTACAGATACATTTCCTTGCACCTTCCTTTTTCACTGTTCAGACAGTAAAAGCTCAGCAAGAACTACAGTGTTGTTCAGGAGAGAATGAGATGATACCTGTACCTAGGAGTACTCCACGCTTCAGTCAAACAGCTGAAGAAAACCCCCCAAAACCAAAAAAACAGCCAAACACCTTTGCCACAAACAAGGTGAAGGGGAAAAAAAGCTATTTACCCTCAACTATGTTTTGCTGCTCCTATGGCTGAGGTCATAATAGCACAAAATTGATAATCCCTAATACACTGAAGTGTAAGTATAGTTGAGACACTACAAGGATCACAGCAGAATTATTGGGTCTTACTTCAGTACCCTTTCATAGTGCTTAACAAAGTTGCTGTTTCAACAGTGAGTGCCTTTTTTCAGTTAGGACATTATTGAGAAAATGGCATATTTGAAGTTTTTCTAGCCATGGCATATAAAAACAATTGACAGGGACATCACAGTTCAGATTTGTCTGTAGATGCAAAGGTTGCCTGGGACAGATGGCCTTGCAAAATGATGCTTCTGTTGCATAGAGTTCTTTTGTAGAAAAAGCAGATCGTCGTAGTGCCATGGTCTCTAGGTTATTAGCGAATGTGCTGTTTGGAGAGTGTAAAGCTCTTGTAGTAGCTGGCAGTACAGAAGCCTCCTTGCAAGGAAAAGGGCAGCTCTGCTGCCAATTACTTACTACAGAGAAATATTTAAAGCTCTTCAATGTCTTGGTTATAAGCCTGCTCCTCCTTTTGAATACTGTTCCCTTTGGTAATTGAGCTCTCGCTTCTATTTAAACCCTTTGCCTCATAAATAGATCCGTTTGCAGAAGAGAGTAACAGTGGTACCATTAAAGTGCAAACAATACCTCACCTGATGCACCTTGCACACCAACCATTTATCCTGCCAGCACTGAAATTATTGCTCCAGGTCAGTAACACTTTGCCAAATGATGTTGTGCCATAACACCCCTTGGGATCCCATTACAAGCCTTTTAACACAACTCAGCCATTTAGCATGTTATTGCTCTCCGTTTGCTATACTGACAAAAGAGATGACTACTCCCAGGAGGAGAAACTGAAGTGAGAGAAGGCCTGTGGCCAGTGGACACTTGGCATCCCCCTAGCATTAATCAGAACTTGTATTTTTTAAAAAGCAAGATTGTTAAAATAAAACTAGAAACTTGTGAGTGATTCTGCTCTTTATTTCGCTCCTTTGAGTCTTGCTGGGGTATTCAATTTTGCATTCACGGACCAACAGATGCATTCAAGTTACTTGATTTCCTCACTTTGGATCACCAAAATAGCATCTGGATTTTTCCCTTGAACTTCTTGCAAGTGAAAGCGAATTCTAAAAGCTGTACCACCACAGGAGTTATTTGGGAAGGGAATGACTAAGGCAAGAAAATCCAGATGACGCTTCTGAGCTTCCTATTTAAATGATGTATAGGAATTCATACCACTTGAAAAAGGCTCATGGGAGAAAAACCATCAGATTTACATGTTAATTGCTGCAAGAGAAAAGAAACTGTAAGAAGTGGGATCATCAAGATGACAGTTATTCTGAGAACGGGGTTCTCGCTGGAGACACATTGAGATCACAGCTGCCCCGGGTTAGCCCCTGGGGTGTTAGCTCCTGTACAGACAGCAAATAAAAGTGGCACCCAGTTTTCAGTTTGAATCTATGCAGGGACCATCCCTTTGTTAAGTCTTTCCAGGCATCTGGCTACAGAGACAGCAAGCTGATTGAACAGTCCTGCCTCACAGGCCAGCCCTGCACAGAAATGACAGACATTTCCCTTCTTTAACACCCATTTTGAAGGAGCATGCACCTCCTCACATGAGGGCCCTCATCTGTATTCAACTCAATTGGATACAGCCACAACCCTTTGCAGGAATGCTTTGGCACTTGTCAGCCAGTTCAGTTCTGGCTCCCAGTTTTGCTTCATATTTCTGCAAGGAATACTAACAGGAGTTAGGTGGAATTGAGCACATAAAAGAGTTTGAGTAAATATATCCAAAAAGTATTCTTGTTTTTTAATTTAAGCAATAAACCACAAGTTATAAACAAAAATATAAAATAAACATAATACAGATTATCTTCTGAGATACCAGATTTTTAAAAAGCTGAAATAAAAGAGCCTTAAGATTTTTTGACAAGTAAATTGGTAAGGACAGGATGATGACAAGCTTGTCTGAAAGGAGAAAGGCCTCGATCTATTTACATCTCACAGGCTGCTACCCAGTGGGCTGAACTGCAGACACCGTGATAACAAACAGGGTAAACACCAGCCTCAACTAGTCCGTCACCCAGCCAGCATACATAGGCCAACATAAAATAACTCACAGGTAACAAGCTTTACTGGTGTATTGAGCCCAATTTTTAAAAACCACTGGAGTTGATACAGTTACCATCACTGCTCCTGGAAGATGAACCCTTCATCTATAAAGTATTTCACAATGGTTAACCTAAACTACCTGCACTTGAATTTATACCCATATAAATACATTTTACACTCATTTTAGCTCAGCCTCCCCTAACTCGGTTATAATCTCCAAACCATCAAAACCATCTGCTGAAGCTACACTTTTTTCTCCTCCAGAATAGTCTTTCATTTCCGTAATTGTGTGTCACTACCCACATCTTCAGTTCGAGCCTTCCTGGTGCTAAGATATCCAAAGGCAAATAGCACTGCATCAGTGCGTTAGAGAACACATCAGATTCTCCTGATTCAGTAACTCTATTCAGCCCAATTCTTCTGTGTATCTTATATAACTGCATAAGAAGCCCAAATCCCAATTTTTGGTCCATTATCCCCTCTTTCTCCCCTTCCTCCTATTGCTGGTTTTCAGGCACATTCCTCCCAGTAGGGAGGTAGGAAGAGTTATGAAGACTCCTAATTTAAAAGTTTATCCTGCTTACTGCTCAGTTACCGCATTGGATTTCTGAATGGCTATGGAAACGCAGTTGCAAATGAACAAGTGGCAAAACTAAAAATCTCCATATATATGTATCAACCAGGTAGAGACAGCCCTAACCTAGTGTCGTGGTTTAAACCC